GTCATATTATCTTTCCACTTCTTATTGTCAACTCATACCTATCATTATGCCTAACATTTCTTTAGTCCCTTCTTGTTCGTCTTTAGTTAGTCGCGACGGATCATCATCTCGTCTGGCAAGTGCACATCCAACCATTGATAAGATCGCGATGTTTGCTTTTGCGCAAACCATGTTGTGAGTACTTACTCGTTCCAGGTAGAAAATTACTATTTCAAAACGATTGGTCTAACAAAATGCGTAGCTAGATACAGATCTAAGTGCAAATGAAGCGTATGCCGTATATATTAGCTAGAATGCGATATATATTCGGATAAATTTGTGTGGTAAGCACTCAGCAATGCAGCACGATGTGCGTACTCTATGCAACAACAAAAACAAAAGTCTCTACTACTAGTAGTAAGATAACCAGTAGGCCAGTATTGACAAATCTACTTCTCATTTCCTACATACTGATTACTGAATTCGTTTTAGGTACATATGAAATGCACTATAAAAACTGAGAGAATTTTTTATTTTGATAAAATGATTACTCACAAGATTGTCGCTACTCTGACCACCAATCATAATAAATTATTCTGGGTGTACTGACTACTGTCGCAGAATCTCGCAGGTTCACTTTTATTATTATTATTAAAAAAACAGCGACTTAGTCTGGGGACTGGGGACTGGATTTATATGGGTACGTAACTGAGAACCCAACTGAGTCACAGTTAATATATTCTTGCACTCACAAGCACGGTATAAACACATACAAATGTTTCAGTATCCTAAATACAACTGATGGGCCTATTGCCAGAGCTTAAGGATGTGTAATGACTGGAGTACAAAACGACATCGACAAAACTGTTCAACCAAAATTGTTTAATCTATGAATAATTCTTTTTTTTTCAATGTCAGTATCACTATTTGGAGCCTCTGTATATATGTATGTGTATGTGTATGTGTAGAAGTATGTGTTTCCGTATGTGTATGTTGATGTGTGTGGATATGTTGGTATGTTTTATATCTGTATATTTTATATATATATATATATATATATATCTTATATATGTGTGTTTGTGTGTATGTCTATGTCTATGTCTACCTCTATATCTATATATATATATGTCTTATGTGCATGTGTACGAGTGTACGTATGCGTATGCGTATGTGTATAATATATTTTATATATATATATATATATGTGTGTGTGTGTGTGTGTGTGTGTGTGTGTGTGTTATGTGTGTTGTTGTGTGTGTGTAATGTGTGTGTTGTGTGTGCGTTGTTGTGTGTGTGTGTGTGTGTGTGTGT